ATGTGAAGAGACTGCAGACTTTATTCCATCAAATTCAAGAGTTAAGATCAAATAAGGCGGATTCTAGTTTGAAGACTTTATAAAGATTGCTTTGAAGGCCTAAGACATCTAGAAAAGACGTTAATGAATCTACTGCACACACCATCAGAAATGTTTTTCAAGTAGGACACTCAATCAGATTTGCAGATCTTCAAATTAAATAATGTATTTATTCTGTTAATGCCCTATGGAAGGTAAACAACATCCCTCTTACATGCATTTTGTCTGTGTGTGTGTTTGTTTTCTCCAAAGGGTGCATTTTTGATGTGCAGTTTTCCACTAGGAGGGACAGGAAGTTCCAGGTACTGGGACAGCCTGCGGGACATGCAGCCTTCGGGCGAAGCGTGGGTCAGTGTGGAGTCACGCCGTGTGTTCATGTTCACTGCAGAAACGGAGGGACGTGTGTGGACTCTGGCTCATCTGTGTAGTAAGGACAAATGATTCATTTTCTTTAGAATGATTCCTCCCTTGAATAAGACATACTGTTCTCTATAGGTTAATTTAATGCACACACAAAAACGTTACATTATCGCTGCATCTCCACTGCTGGAACTTCAACAAGGGACGGCAGACTTGAGATAGAATAAAGGGTCTAGATTGAGTCCCAGGGACTCCTGTTGGGCCAGTGCGGTTATACTTTCTGAATGTACTTTGACTTTGGGGGCGGGGCCTTGCAGGGCTGGTCAATGTCATTTGGTCAAATCCTTACAGCATAAAGAAGATCTGCAGAGAAACAAGTGGTTTGACTTGCTGAGTATCTACAGCTGAGATGTAAACCACTTCTATTTTCAAATTTGAGGGCCACACCCTTTGAGCAATGAGAGGGATTTTGATCACTTGTTAGAGGTTAGGCCATCTCTAGCTGATCACCTATTTTTACCGTGATTAGATTCATCCCCTAGAAGTATTTTGACCATGAATGAACCCTGAAAATTGAAAAAAAATATACCTACATTTCAACTTCAAACTGAAATATTGGACATCCTGTTGAGTTTAGAGTTTTGGCACATGGAAGTTTTTGTAGCTTCAGTACATGAAACATATGCCTACTTAATCGTGTACATGTAGATGGAACATACTGTGTGGCATGCTCCATAAAATAATATGGTAGGGGGCGCTGTGGAGGCATTTGGCTCCAAACATTTGCATTTCATGACTTTTTGAGCTTGTCGAAAATGAGATTCTTTTGGCACACATCTGTACACTCTTTTCCAAACAAAACAACCAGTAGGGCTTCTGCACCATTGATGCACAGGCCATTAATATACCATCTTTTCACTGATGGTCTCATTTGCCGGTATAGATCATAACATGAAGTCAATATAACTTTTAGTCAGTTTCATAACCAGTTGAAACTCCTCACAGGAGCTTTAAAACAATACCATTTGGAACAGTGAGATTATTTTTGAAGCCCCTGGGATATGAAGTTCCTTTGGTGAAAACACAGCCTCAGTGTCTTTTCTCATCTGTTTTGTAAATAGGATATTAATAACCCTTGGAAAATACGTTCCACAGTTCAGGGAAATGACAGTGTTTACAAGCTTTTCACAGTGCCTGACTGTGTCTGTCTGCAGTTGCCAGTGCCCATTAGGATGGAAGGGAGCGCTCTGCTCTGAGACCGTGTCTGTGTGCGACGTCGAGCACAGTCCCCCTCCTCTGTGTGCCCCCGGCTCCACCTGCATCCCTCTGCCTGATGGTTACACCTGCCAGTGCCCCCTGGGGACCGCAGGACTCTACTGCGAGAAAGGTTGCAATTCTTGAACCTCAACTGTTTCACAATACATCTGTGTTTCTGTTTTTTTTGTTTTTTTTTAAAGCAAAGTCTTTACTATTTTATTAAACTGCTCTATTCTTTTTCCTGTTCAGCTGTGACCATCAGTGATCCGTTCTTCAGCGGCAACCAGTCGTCATGGATGTCATTCCCTCCTATGAGTATCAGACACAGGACTGTGATACAGCTGCAGTTCCAGCCTTTATCACCAGATGGCATCCTCGTCTACACTGCACAACATCTCAGTGCCAGAGCAGGTGAGGACACTCAAATCCCTTTTTAAGATAATGTAAGGTTTATATGAACCTAGAAGGTTTAAAGTGCATGTTGGGGTGCTGATGAACTAATCAACTTTAAAAAGGATATCATTAACTTTTCTAGAAATAGCAGGTGATCTGAACCTTTATTTATGAATTAATTTACTTAAAGGCTTTATATGTGATTTTTCACACTTAAATATAATAGAAATCAAGTATATCATCTGAAAATAACTCTGTGAGTCATGACTGTCTACAATGGGTATAACTCCCGAGTCCCACTGTCTGTGATGTTTTCAGAGTTTTCAGAGTCCTATCTTCACTTTGTTTACATCGCCGGGACGGCCGGCCGACTCCTCCCCTCGAGTATAAAAGTTGTTTAATTGAGCGACATCTACTGGATCCAAAAATCGCATATAAAGCCTTTAATGAAATGAATGTATATTAACATCCCTGTTTGATTTCTTCCTGCAGGAGACTTTTTCTGCCTCTCCTTGTCCTCTGGATTTGTACAGCTGCGGTACAACCTGGGAGACGGGACCCGTGTCCTGCAGACTGCCAACAAAGTGGACTCACGCGGGAGGACGTGGCACACGGTGAAGGCCGGCCGCTTTGGTCTCCGAGGCTTCCTCAGTCTGGACGACAAGGAGGTCAGAGGGAACGGGACAGAAGGGATGACCACCCTGGACGTCGCCACCGACATCTTCATTGGCGGGGTGTCCACTCTGAGCTCGGTGTCCACGGACGCAACAGAACGGGAGCCGACTGGTTTCACCGGGGGTTTCAGAGAACTTGTGATTAACGGTCAGGAGTTAGAGTTAACAGAGACGGGGGCGGTGAGTGGAGCTAATGTAGGGGACTGGGACGGGACTGCGTGTGGGTACAAGGTGTGTCAGAACGGCGGGCGCTGCTTGCCGTTGGGAGGTAACTCGTTCTCTTGTGTGTGTCCGCTGCCGTGGACCGGCTCTGCGTGCAACCAGTCTATAAGCTGCGTTAACAACATCTGCAAACACGGATCCATATGTTCTCCATCCAACGACTTCTCGTACAGTTGCGTCTGCCCGTTAGGATGGGGAGGGAGGTACTGCGACGCCGAAGTAACCACGGACACTCTGAAGTTTGTGGGGAACTCGTACGTTAAATACTCGGACCCGAGACACAACACGAGGAATCTGAAATACGCGCAGATTTCTTTTAGCTTCCGCTCGAGCTCCAATGACAGTTTGATCCTTTGGATGGGAAAGGCGGAACAGGAAGACGACGACTACCTCGCGGTCGGACTCGAAAGAGGACGACTCAAAGTAGCGGTGAATCTCGGGGAGAGATTGCTGCGCCCGATGACTTTCAAGAACCTTTCACTCTGCTGCAACAAGTGGCACAACGTGTCCGTGTCTTTAAACAGCACCGTCATCCAGGTGTTCCTCGACAACAGGAGGGTCGTCTTTGAAGATATGGACCCGTTCGAGCGCTACGTCGCCTTAAACTACGGCGGCCAGCTTTACTTGGGAGGATTTGAATTGCAGAGGAACGTTTCAACCGTCACCTCGGGTTGTTTTCAAAAGGCTTCGAAGGAAATCTCAGAAATGTTTATTTGTTTAAAGACACAAAGCCGCTGCTGCTTCTTCAGAATAGTGAGGGTTTTAATGTTTATCCAGGAAATGCTTAGTGCTGAATTTTTTTAGTCTATAAAAAGTAAGAGATCAGAGATCTGTGAGCAGCCTAGACTTGATTGGTCATTTTCTGCTTGTTTCTTCAGCACTATACGGACCAATCATATGGCTTCTACTGTTTCATAGTAAGTGTGTAAAACTTTATTTATATAGCACTTTTAAAACACTCAGTTTAAAAGTGCTTCGCAAATAAAAGCCATCAAACAATTCATACGGATTTCATAATGACTTGAATACAATATGGGGACACTGATCCAGCTCTGCACGCCACTGGATAAAATGTCACGAATTGATTTATGAGTCACTGTTAAAATTACCAAAAAGACAATTTAAAAAAAGTCTGTGTGATTCCATGACTTCATGCCTGTATTTAAAACAACTTTACCGTCTCAAATGATCGTAACAGCACAATTCAAAGTTCTCCTGAGGAACTTTTGGTTTGTGATGATTTTTGTGTTCCCTTTGGACGAAGTGATACGTCTGATCTCTTTGTCGATCTTGTCTTTTGCCACACAAACACGTGTTACATGATTCAGACATATGCCCAACAGTAGTGTTGTAGGACTCAAAATCAGTCATGTCCTTCAGACCTGTCTCGAAGCTACTTTTTTAAGGGTCTGGGACTCGTCTCAGATTCTATGGCATTTTGACTCGGCCTTGTGTCAGACTCTAGATATTAAATCAAGACCGATTTAGACCACCACTGATAGGCTATTTTTCCTCGTCATTAATTTGTCATAGTTAGATTTATTATCCCCATTACAGCCGCAACCTTCCCGGTGCTAGGGTCTAAGTGAGTGACACGCCTGCTGCACACAGGATTATGGTTTTTCAGTGATAGTTATGGTCTTGAGCCCTAAATGTCTCGTTCTTGGAGCACTCCGGTCTCAGCTATCTCTCGGTTAGTGTGACTATAACACTACCTGACAGTAAAAACAATTTTGCATGTAAAGGATTGTCACTAACACACATTCTGTTTGACTTTTTCTGGACTGGTTGACACGGACTAAAAATTGTGAAATTGACAGAAATTTGTCGTTGCTACGGAGACCTTAATTATTATTTCTATAGCACCAATTCATAACAAATGTTATCTCTCTTTATTCCCCATCTCGTGCTTCACATGTCTAGGCAGTGTTTTATGACTGAAAGTCTCACATTTCCCTCGTTTAGCAGTCTAATGTGTCAAATCAATTTAGATCTTTGCTGTTCCTGTGTGAATTTTAAACAGCTCGACTGTCTTAAATTACTGAATGCGCACACTTTTAGAGTAACCAGGTCATTTAATACAACTTGATGGAAATAAGAGGACGTTTTTTTTTTTTTAATAATCAATAATAAAAAAAGATTAGCTTTATTACGAACTGTACATAAACACACAGTGCAAAGGCACAAATAATCTCTACTGTATATTACAAGCCAAAATGTACATCCTTTTGCAATTCAAAGTAAGGTTATAAAATATTTAAGCAATTGAAAAAGAAGCAAAGCTGCTGTTTGAACCGCCGTCCTCAGTTCAGTGTTGTCTGTGTTACATTCAGGCCAAATGTTTGAGTGCAACTTTTCACCAAATGGTCCGCACGCGACTGGAAACCTTTACTAATTGTTTGTAGTCCGTACAGCAGCTCAATATGGACACATTTGTTTGTTTTCTTTACAATAAAAGGTTAAAAACTTAAAAATATTCCAATATTGAGTTCCTCCTGCTCTGCTGGTGTGATTCACAATCCTTTTGAAATGAATTCATTTTGGCTGTACTGTCGAGAACATAAAATCAAACTTCTAGGAAGGAAATGGCAATGAAGCTGCAGACCGGTGAACAAAACCAAACGCCATCAGCCGTTTTCAGCCGAAGTGGTTTGAACCAGCCGAGTAACCAACAAGATAACAGTCTCTCTTAGAGCCCTGGCAGGGCTTTTTAAAAACTAACAAAAACACAATTATGAGTAACTGTCTTTGGAACTCCTGCGTCCGTTCTCATAATCAGAGTCCCGCCTGTGTCTGTGTCGGTCCTTATGGCGGCTGCTGTAGTCGTCGCTGTGCCTCTCTTTCCTCTTCTCGCCGTAGCGGTCGTCTGAGTGTCCGTGGTGTCTGCTCCTCTCTCTGTACTTATCGTCATGACTGCGGTCTTGCTTTTTCTCGCGCTCCCGGTCGTGGTGTCGGCTCTTTTTCCCGTGATGGGAGTCCCTGTGATGGCTGTGCCTCCCATGGTGGTCTTTCTCCTCGGCGATCCGCGGCCTCTCCCACGGGTCGCTGTATCGCTCCTCTACCGCTTGTACTCTTTGAGCTGAGATGGAGGCGGGCCGGGGGGTTCGGAGTAGCCCTCCAGACCGGGGATGGCGTGTGAGGTGCTGTCCTGATTGGACGACTCGCTGTTGTTCTGATCCTGGTCGGAGTTAGTGTCAGGAGGAGGGCTGGTTGTGGAGTCGAAGCCGTCTGGTACCTGAGTCTCTGGTGATGGTGTCGGTACAGCACTGCTGTCAACTTGGGGAGCAGATGCCACAGCTGTGTAGTGCTGGGGCTCAGAGGCTTCTGTGTTACATGCTGCTTGTGGTCCTTGGACTGTAGGAGGATTTGCCGTCTGAGTTACTGAAGCATCTGCCTGGGACGTGCCAGGATCTTCCTTTACACTTAAGAATGATCGTGTTGTCGCTTGGTTTACTTCCTCGAGTTTATTTCTGGCCTGAGAAACCTGCAAATATCCCTGGTGAAAAAGTGTAACTGGAATATTTCTAGTGCTGGGAACAGGTTTAGGACTCAAAGGGGCTGTGTGGCTGGCTTTATCCTTCTGTAGCACCGTTGTTTTATCTTCACTCGCACTGCAAAACGCTGAAGATTTCTTCAATATTCCACTCAAAGGAGGTTTCGAGCTGTTTGTGTGAGCCGTGGCAGCCTGGGAGTGCGACTGCGACGAAGAATTCCCTTCAGATGTTCCTTTTTCAGTTTCAGAAACGAGGCCGGTATCGCCTTTGTTTGCCGAGGCGGCGCTGCTGCTAGTTTCGATCCCACTCGGAGTTGTTGACAAGCTTGCCAGGAACGCTTCAGTCGATACATCTGTGGGCTTATCTTTCAGAGAGACCGGTGCAGCGGGGGTCACCGCCGCGGGCTTCTTGGCTGGCGAGTTGTTAGCAGCAGATGAATCAGTCGAGGCGGGGAGCTCCGGTTCGGCTTTGACGGGTTTAGCTTCTTTCTTTTTGATGACAAAGCGCTCTCGTTGCGCAACAGCTGTTGGACTTTTCACATTTCCAGAAGACGCCTCTGTTTTCGGGGCCGGTTGGGTCTTCTGGATGTCGTCGGCTGTCGCTGCAGGTTTGAATCCAACATCTGGCAGAGGTGGTAGCTCCCCGCCCCAGCCTACCAACACACCCGGAAGGAAGCGCAGCGGTTTTTGGGATTCCTGACTGTTGGCCTCTGACGCAGATGGTTCTTCAGAAGACTCTGTGATAGGCTCGTTAACTTCTTCAGTCGTGTTAAGAGGTTTCTCCTTCTCTTTACTCTGCACCGCGGTCAAAGAGGAGAGGAATAACTTCTCTTCCTTCTCCGTTTCTCTGGTTTCCTTCGCAGAAAGAGTGATGGGCTGGATTTCAGGAACAACCCTCTCGGTTTCATTCATGTCGACTGTAAGAAAATCTCTCTTCAGTCTCTGGCGGATTATGAGTCCGAGGAGAAGGTTGCCACGGTTGTTTTCTAAACCTGTGAAATCAGGAGATTCATTGAGTCTGACGGATGAGGAATGTTTGAGTAAGGAAAAATAAGCATCCAAGAGAAAAAAAGATGAAGTGTTACCTGGCCCGTCGAAGGGAACAAGCTGATGTGGGACTTTTTCAGTGGCGCCCAAAGGAATAAGATACATGTCCTTCACTTCTTTCAGGTTATTGGACACCACCCCAAAGCGCCTACGGCTGCTGAAGTAGGCATAAAGGAGAGTGTAGGAGATCTCATCTTCCTCCGTCTCAGGGGCGAAGCGAATCAGGCACACCTCCTTTAATTAAAGAAAAAGCATGTGTCAGTAGAGAACCTGACCAGAACCTGAAGCTGCTCTATAATACATAACGTGCCTTTTCAAGAGGGGGTGTTAATGGTCTGCACTGCAGCTCGAGCTGCTCTTGAACCTCGTGTTATTGTGGCTGATATATATAATGACTGCGTTTGCACTATAGGCTGCATAAGTCCTTTAGAGGGAAAGCAGCCACACTCACTTTTGTTCCAGTTGCCCGAATCTTCTCCAAATAGTCCCACACCGTCTGTGGGCTAATCCTTCCCCCCACTTGAATGCGGTCTGGAAGGTCCTATTGAAAGGAGACATGAAAACTTACTGACGGCACTTGTTTCAAATATTCTGCAGGATTTTGTTTGAACTGTAAGTGCGAGGCAGTTGGCTCCACTTTACTTCGGTCAGGTGGTCCAAAATGCCGGAGACGGGGAAAGCTTTAGTGTCAAACTTTGCCACACAGTGCATGTTAATTAATCCGTGCCACAGGGACTTCAGGTTGGACAGGAAGGCAGCCTGTTCGTCTCTGCCAGCTGTGTGATCCAACCTGTGGTGAACAACAGAAATTAAGTTGTCATTCAAATAACAAAACTGCAAAAAGAAAAGAATGGCTCAGGGGGTTATGAATAACTGCTTTAAATCCTACTAAAACCCTTCTTAAATCCAGAGATTCCACTCATTTGCAACAATACTGAGATACGGATAATGAAAATAAATCTGTTATATACAATATTTAGTAGCTGTTTGCACACATGCATCGCTGAAGATGTCATGTAAGCCCGCCCTTTAAATCTTCCTGAGTTGCTTATTCACGTGTCCCAAGTTTTCCCTGTCTGACCAGAGGGGGGCAAGACATGACGTGAAAGGATGCTGCAGGAATCTAAGATGGCAGAAGATGAAGTCTGACAGAGTAAAGACAGTTTTTGCCTTTATGTCAATGCGTTGTGTAACTGGACATGTTCACAGTATCAATAAATGAGTGGTAAAGAACATACTGTGTTTGTGAACATAGAGAGTATGAAGCTGCTCCATTACATGAACACCCACAGCACTGGCTGTGTGATATGTTATCACACGGCTGCTGCTTAGTCCCACTTAATTTTTCTGAATGTCTCTGGAGGTTCTCAGTCATCCAGGTCATGGTATACCGAAGCTTGATCCAAAGGCGATTGGACTTAGTTGAAGAGCTTGCAGTTGTTTCATCTCTCCCCTGAACGGCTTCTTCAGTTCTACACTGAGTGGTGGATGGAACTAGAAATGTAAGCCTCTGTGGATCATTAGCATGCTAATGATCAAGGATGGTAAAGTAAGACAGGGATGGTGGTCTATCACCAACCTACAGTGCTGTTTTGAATTTCTCTCCTGAAACAAAGTCCCACCTTGAACATGTGACCCTAGCGACCCGCAGATGATGGGAAACTAGGTCAACGACGCAGCTAACAAGTCGTATGTGATCATCCTTGATCTTTAGTATGCTAATGATCCACAGAGGTTTATATTTCTAGCTCTGTACAGCCGTTACTTTAGATCAGAAGAAGCCTTTCTGAGGAGAGGTGAAACATCCCCAAGATCTTCAACTAAGTCCAGTTGCCTTTGGATCCAGCTTCAATTATCCTGAATATTCCCCGGTGTACAAAGATCCAAACCCCGACTTACAAGGGAAATTTCATTAGGGGGAGCATGTGCACTAATATCAGGGGTGAAAAATTTGAGATGTTGCGTTCACACATGCAGCTCCCCCCTAAACATTTCTGGAACTTTTGGCAGTTTTATGAATGTGTGAAGATCACAATCGATGAAAATTAAAGGTGTATTTAATTGTTAGTAGAGCCAGTTTCTAAAGGTCCTGTGGTCTATTCATCTGCTGCTATTGTATCACCATAACCTAGATCAAAGACTGCTTCCACCGTAATTATAAGTTTAACATGAAGCCACATCGGTTTCTGTACAAAGACCTGAGTTGTTCTGCAGCAGTTTTGTGTAGAGATTTTAAATGTAAACGATTTTTTCAGCCAATTACTCATGTATTTAAACTCTCTTCTGCCATTTTTATTATATGATTTAGCGTATATAGTTAAAGGCTCTGGATAAAAAGGTAAGAATTATGTTCCACTGACATTCATTTCCAATTTCAGGCTGGTAAGAACATCCTTGATGCATTAAAATCACATTAAAGGTTCATCACATCGAGTGTCTTACCGTCCTTCGTAGCCCGACTTAGCGTTTCTTAAGCTCTCCTCTAAGACTGTGAGGTGCAGGTCGTCGTCCATTGCAGGTGTAGCTGAGCTCTTTGTCTCCTCTGCTTTGGTGGACTGCCTCCTCACAACTGTAGTAGCAACTTTGACCACTTTGGTTGGAGCCTCTTCTGCAGGGGGCGCCATACGGCCTTAATGAATAGGAACAGAGGAAGTTGATTACTGAGAGTGACTTACAAGCAGAAAAAAAAAAAGACAGCCTGATGACTTGGATGAAGATCTTTTTCCCGGTGTAATGGTTTACCGGTGCAGATTTTGCAGTGAAGGTCAAACAAGTGGGACTTGTGTTGGTTGGTTGTGTCTTTCTCCGTCTTGGCACATTCTTCCGTCTGCTCCGGGGTGTTTGGAGGTTTTTCTGCTGACAGTTCAGCTGCTCTGGGAGGAGACTTAACCTAACAAGAGAAATAAAGAGGAAATAAAGGCGGATGAGCAACACTCTTCTGCTGGTAGACATGAAGAAATGAGGAACTGTATAGGACTTGTGGCTTACCTCTGCAGGCTCAGGTGCCTTCGCTGGTTCTTGGCTTTCAATTTCAATTTCACCTTTGTGCGTAATCTTTGTGATCGGCCGTCTCTCTACCTCTCGCTGCTCTTTTTCAATCATCTCAATCGTCTGTAAAAAGATGAAGGCTGGCTTTTTAGAAAGATAGTGAAAGTTTTGCTTTCCAAAATGTGACAATAATAATTTTTGTTAAAGGAAATTTGTTAAAGGAAAAAAAAATCTCTAAAACATATTGTCATTATTGCCACTTAACTCCACACTTATTTTAATTTCTGTTTATTTTTAACAGAGATGGTGCACAATTAAATGTAAATGTACAAGAGTTAGCTTATAGCTCATTTCTATCTGTTGTAAGAATTATCATCAGCTGTAAGGGGAATGACTGGCAGGCTTATTAGAGGGAATTCGTTTGATAAAATTCAAGTATAACTCACATGTCGGTTCTCCCTTTGTCGCCATGCAGCCAACTCTTTTGAGGCCAATTCCTCAGGGCTCAATCGTATCAGGTTAGCAGGAGAAATCTCCCCCTTGAGCACCTTCTTAAAGAGGACCTGAAATGATAACAAACAAAGTTAAATAAGAATATCTAAGAGTTACATCGAAGACATTTTTCTTTGATCATTTCTGCTTAAAATGGTACTTACATTGTTTTTAGTGTCTTTAAGGTTGAACATTAGACTTCTGTACTTGTTCTTGTATTTGTTGTCGGTGTCTTTGTACAAGTGAAAAAGCTCTCTTTCTGTCTTCTTGGCAACTTCAGAAGCTCTCTCCACAGAGATGCTTAAATCAGACTCTTTCAACCTGGAAAAGCAGAAAGCGTTACACATTTGGTGCACAGAGGTAATTGTTTGTACAGTTTTTCAATAAAAATAAACTCTATATCTTGGTATTTAGACATTTCTTTTGATGACTTCTGCTCGTGAACTTCTTACCTCTGAATAAGGATTTCTTTCAGGGAGTCACGCACGCTGCGTCTGATTGCCTCCACAGACACGGGTTTCTTTGAAGCCGAAGAAGACGTCTTACTCTTTGTCTCTTGTTTCAGGTGAAAGCCTATATGGACAGAATGACAATATATGCACTGAGCTGGCACACACACACACAATGTTACACACAAAGATGCTTCATATGAAAATAAGTGCAAATCAAACTGTTATGCAACTTTTAGAAGTAGCTATAGAAGACCTTTGGCAAGCCAGCCTGACCTCGTCTCCAAAAAGAAAAACTGTATGAGGCAGCGAGATGGTGCTAAAAAAAATTGGGCTCTTTTTCCTGCCAGGAGTTTCAAACAGCATTTGAAACTCCTCGAAAGTCGTCCCTGTTCACTATTGATTTGAAACTCACTGTAAACTTGAGTTTCTGAAGGGTCCTGGGACCCTGGGAGAGGATTCTTGGTTTAAGGGAAGTTATGAATCAATCTGTCAGCTGTGCAATCTTAGTTCAAATACACTTTCAGTACGTGTTTTTTTTGCACCAGTGAACAGGTCACACCCTTATGTACACAACCACACTGCAGCAAATATCACTCTGAATAACAGAAAACCTTTTTTTCACTCTGTATAAAAATATATATATTGATGTGTAGTGATTTCCTTCATGTCATCTTGTTTACATAATGTAATAACAATGAACACAGCCTGACCTTGATCCATATGTGGCATTAAGAATACACAAGGGGGGAAAACAACGACAACTTATTCTAACATCCACAGCTCCTGAAATATAAACTAGAGAAGTGATGATTTGACAATGACACCCTTACAAGTTGGCACCAGAATTACTACTCGGATAAAATAATAATTGATGTTTGTATTGGTTCAGGCAGGCAATGCCACTCAATGTTATGTGTAAGCTGTAATGCAGCCAGCTGCCACCAGCTGGTGCTGTAGCTCCAGAAAATATCTGCTCCATATCTGGATTAAATGTTGTGTTCAATCAACATTTGAATTAGTTGATAGGAACATCTCTAATATAAACATACCTGTTCTATGAGCCGAGTCTCTCCCCTCTGCAGAATGTCTTCTGTCAGGGTCCTGCAGTCGGAGGGAAGTGGAAAACAAACAAACCGGATTAACAACACTGCCAGCCATAAGGGGGAAAAGTGGCAAAACATTAACCTGCCCTGGCCAAAGGTTTACAAACAAACAAAGGGTGAGTTTTATGTGTGTGAAACAAAGTTTTGGTGAGTACACCATGTTAACCTCACACCCATGTGCAAGCCTTCTGTAAAGGAAAAGGAAAAACACAACAAACCCTTGGCTATGATTAAAATCAGAGGATGAATTAGCTGTGGGGACAGATAAAAGGATCCTTTGTATATAAAAGATTTCAATGTCTCAGAAGCATGATTTAAAAAACAAGTTGTGTTAAAAGAACTGATGGTGACTCTGCTTACCTTTCGTACTGGTCTGACCCCTCCGGATGTTAGTGTCTGGGAGGGTCCTGGTTTGGGCTTTGAGGGCAGCTTTTGATCTGGTACTTCAGTCTTTACTGGAACTTCTGGTTTGGACACACTCGGGGGCTCTGGTTCCACTTTTTTGTTTTCCTCCTCACAACATTTCAAGCACACGTACATCTGGTCCTCCTCCTCCATTTCTCGCACTTTGGTCAGGTCCAGACCAACGCAGTCGCCGTGGAACCAGTCGTCACAGCGACCACAGCCCACCATGAACCTATACAGAATTATAAAGAGGTGTGTTAGATGCTCAGAGTGGACATATGTACAAACGCTCAAAGACTGAAATATAGAAGATTATAATCGTGGTAAAGTTCTGGGTCATTAAAGCATCATTATCTGTATTATCACACGTTTTGAAATTTCTAAAAATGTTGCAATCTTTGCTGAGTAAATCAAATATTTAACAACTTAATGCTTTAACAGCATTAAGCTTCATCTATAACTATATATAAAAATAATGGTGTTTTCCCAAAGTTAAATATCTCTGTGCAGTCGGGGTGAGCATATTCAGGCAAATTCAATGCAGATAATCAGGAGGAGATGATGTCATGCAACAGGTGAGTGACTGGTGGGATTGTCATAAAAGTAATAAAAGCAGCTTCCTACTCTCTTCTGCTCACCAGAATGTTCCCTTTGTTATTTAGCCAATACCGTCGATGCTTCAAATAACACCTCCACTGACATGAAGGCAAAATCTGTCATTAAAGTGTTCCGACTCGTCTGCCGTCTTGGAATTACATGGCATCTTTTTTTCTTTTTTTTTGAATGTCTTGTTTACACCCACCCCTCCTCCCATTGGACAGGATACACTTCATGCGATGTGGAACATATGCTGATAAGAAACTCAGGAAGGCTTCAAGGGCAGGCTGTCCTAAAATATTCAGGATTGTGTGTGAAAACAGCTTTCGAGTGAAGAGGAAAACTTACATGTTGTTGTGGTGTTTTTTGCACAGGCCACAACAGTTGTTTCCATCCCAAACACTCTCACTGTTCGCAGGCTGCTCGTCAGCACTTTCCTTCCTCGAAACAGGAGCGTTGTCTGGGATGAACAGCTGCGGCTCCTCCACAGAAATACTTCTTGCGGTTTTACTTTTCTGTCTCTGAATGATCTTTTCGGGCTTTTTCAGCTTGGCCTTCTCCTGCCCTCCTTCATCCGGAGACTTTAAAGAATGCCCCGGACGTCCCTGTGCGAGGTTAGAGGGGTCAGCTTTGGAGCTATTCTGAGGAGGAGTTTGTTTAGTTGGTCCCTGGTTGCCGGACGATGGGATTTTTTTCACCACAGCAGCAGTGGGTGAAATTGGCGATTTTGGCTTCACTTTAGTTTCTCCTGTGCTCTGTATCTTCTGCATTTTATTAGCATGCTCACTTTGGGTGATTTCTGCTGGCCTTTTCAAGGGTGCAACACCTTTCTTATCCTTTAAGGATTTCATTTTGTGCAGGTCCTCTCTTTGGATGATTGTGGATGGCATATTTTGGGACACTTTGTGTCCCTTTGTAATGTTGTTTGGTTTACCTGAAACCGAGTCTTTATTCTTGTTAGCGGTCACACCTTCTTTAGGCTTCACTGTTGTCACTACAGTCTGTTGTTTCACCTTAGCATCAGTCTTATTACTGACACTAGTTCCATTATTCTCTGTGTTTTGTGGCTGTTTGTCTTTACTAACTTCTGACTTCTCTTCAGAAACCTTCTGATTGTCAAGTTTTGTCTCTTGTGCACCGGCGTTCCCCTTCACTGTCCCGTTGGAGGTCTGCACGTCGTTAGGATTCACATACGGACCCAGCCCAAAGGCTGCATCATCAGCAGAGCTCTTCTCCGTCTCTGACACATTCTCCTGAAATGGAATCTGTGCATTTACAGCTTCATCTGGCAACACGGCAAACCCAACATCCCCACCGTAAGTAAATCCATCTTCAAAGCCTGAAGACTTGCTTGTTTCCACATAAGAAGGTCCAGGAAGCAGCTCAATCTTGAATCCTCCAATTGTGACGGTCAACCGTCTCAATACAACCGTGGGTTTCAGCCATAATCCACCATCAAAATCATTTACATTGACACGCCCTCCTAGCATCAATTCTTCTTTCAGCTGGGGGCCTTTAATCCCTTTCCCAATAAGAGAAGTCCTGTGTAGCCTGTTGGCTGGTTTTCTCCCGGGTCGACCTGGAGCCATGGCTTTGGTGGGTGTGTTAGCGGGTTGTGGGTCTGTTTAGGCAAGAAGAAACAAAATGTGTGTTACAACATCTTTTGTTTCAATGTGTCATATTGTGGAAACAGAAGCTTAATGAGCACCAACCTACCAAATTCTAATGAAAGTGGACGTTTCCTCGGCCTGCCTCGCTTCCCTGGGGTCTTCTCTGCAACCGTCGGTTCACTACTGAGGCCTGCGGATGCTGAACCACTTTCAAGACCTGCAACAGCCAAAGAAATAAATACTTCTACCTCGGTATCAAAATGAGAGACACATAAAAAAATAAGCAATTCAACTGAAACCAGCTAAATTACAAATGACATGTAAAAAGAAATTTAAAAAAACACCTTTAAATCATTTTCCACAGCCATATTCTGGCATAAAACTCCTAGCAGGCACCATGTTTTAAAAAACCGTCTTAGTGCTTTAGTAGAATTCAAACTGAGCAAAGCTAAAGTTGGTGAAAAGTCTGGCTGATTGAAAACGTTGATAGAAGCTGATAGTGTCTACTTCCTCTACTCTTTGTGTATGGCCTTTTGTTAAGTTTTAGTAGTGGAATATGTTAGTTTACTTTGTTTTACATACCTGTTGAGCCAGCGATCGGAAAAGTGGAGTCCTCATTGTCCAGCAGATTGAACTGAGCGCTTGCGCAGCCAAACATGGGATCTTTGTCACTGAGCATGTTCTTCAGTGAATCTTCAACCCGCAATCCTGTCCCAAACTCATTACCAGCTTCACATTCCAGATTCTGGCCTATTATCAGGGACTCATCCAACTGGTCGCTGGGTATTAGATGGTTAAAGGTGTCCACAATATCCATGAATGCTGCTGCCTTCCTGCATCAAAAACAAAACAGAGAGGAGGTAGGGATGAGTGAAATCATTTTAAAGCTATTAAGAGGAACTTTGGTTTTATGTTGATTTCTGCTCCCCTGGTGGACAAACATGTACATCTTATCCCTTTTGCTGATCTTGTCCTGTACAACGCATCAGTCGTTGTGAGTCTCTGCTGTGGTAATGTAAACTAAGTCCTGTAGAAGCATAGCAGAGTTTTCTCTAGCACAACTTTACCAACCTCCAAGGTGAATGGAGAATGAAAAAGTCTTGCAGAGGTCAAAAAGTTTCAGCAACAGCAGTTTAAAGAACAACTTTATAAGACTGACGTGTTTCAGTATGTTACTTCCATCAGGGTCATCAAGAAACACATTTAAATTATGATGTTTGAGGTTTACTTGATGAATCTAATGAAGGCAACAAGTCAAAAGAAAACAGGGGTTCCCAAACTTTTCAGCTCACTCTTCAGACTGGGGAAACCCCACTGTCAACGGAGATGGTAAAAGCATATAACTTTGCACACAGCCAGACACACGCACTAATAGTCTAGCAATAGACTGGCGACACAAAAGAACAACACAAAAGAGTCTTAAAGAAAGAAGAAATAGCAATTTGTTGTGCGAAAGACCAGAAGCAGAACACAAGTTATTTCCATGTTCATACTTGAGCACTGAGTGGCCATAGAAAATGTTATCAACAGACTCACAGGTGTGTGAATCTTTGAGCAGCAGACACCTGCATTGTTGTTTTTTTTATGTGCAATATGACATTTTAAGAATATTCTTTACGCGCAACTTTCTTTTCAGCATAAATGTCACTTAATCAGAGCTCGACATTATAACTGGCATGGTGCGTAATTGAAAGACTCCAGGCCTGCTCGGGCCAGTTAAAATACTGCCCGTCAAAAAAAACAAAAAAAACAGTAGCACTTAATTCATAATTTTCCTGTAACACTTGTTTTTTTGTCAGGCATTCTTGTGAGATCATCTGGTTCCTAACTGTTACAACATCAATGTTTCATAAGCGTTTTTTTAATGAATCAGTTTTGCATCAGATTGGATAATTTTGTTAACTTCTGACTGTTATTTTTCAAACCAAAAATAATTTTTGGGGCGGCAGTAGCTCAGTCTTTAGGGACCTGGGCTGGGAACCGGAGGGTCGCCGGTTCAAGTCCCGGTGCGGACCAAACATGGAAGTTGGTCTGGTAGCTGGAGAGGTACCAGATCGCTTCCTGAGCACTGCCGAGGTGCCCTTGAGCAAGGCACCAAACCCCCTACCCACCACCAGCTCAGGAGTGCCTGCCGGTGCCATTAGAGCAGATCCATAGGATCCTGTTTGTGCATGTTCATGACTTACAGAGTGTAAAAACAGAATTTCCCCTTGCAGGATCAATAAAGTAAATCTTAATATTAATGATTCTGGGCGAGTTGTAACAGTGGTGGGGCCAGTGATCTTAAATAGAATGGGTAACGTATTGCATTTCAAATCATTTTCAATTTGTATTAGTTTTTTTGGGAAGGCATCTCCAGTCCCGACCCCCCTCTTGATGTCCCCCCTAACCCACTTTGGGAAGCACTACTGCTGCAGGAGCTTTTTGACCTCGTCAATGTAAACAAACTCTAAATAATTACCAAATAATGCACAAGAAAGCACAGGAAACACTGCCATGACCATAGAAGTAGTTCATGAATGCATGTACTTTCAGAGAAGAGGTTTAGGTGTCCTAAAGGTTTAGGTGTCCTAAAGGAGATAGATAATAAATAAATAAAACAGGGAGCAGGTATTTACAAGTTTCAGGGGAACAAAACAGAAAGAAAACTGTTATATGTTATTTTGCTCGTTTGTATGTAGCGTGTGCAACATTTTTTTACATCATAAAACATCTCTGTTAACTTTAAAATCTGAAAATAGAGAGACTGCTGGCTCCAAACTTCCCTCCTCTGTTGCCTCAATCAGCTGGAAATGCTGCCCAGCTTGCAGAGCTGATAGCTCCGCGTTAACAAAACCTTAAAATTATGCACTTAAAAACAAACCTTTGGTGTTTTTTAGTTAAGTACTGCAGGGTTACGTTTGTAGCAAAACTGTAGAAACTTCAAAGCAGCACGCTGGTGTTGTAATTATTAGTAGTGATCGTTCTCAGAATAAGGTGCTCGCCACTTAGCATGCTAACGCTGCAGGACCGCTAACAACAATCCGCTGCAGAGCGTTAGCATGCTAACGTTAACTTGTGGAGGAAGTTATCACCAGTAGATACTCGTTGTGCTAAACGATGGAGCAGTTTTTACAAAGCACATCTTTATCAATAAATACAAGCGCTAGAAAAGTTAAAACACGTCGCTCAAATTGTGTTAATGTTGATGTTAAAAAAAAAAATCTGTCAGACAGGCTGCAGCTAGCTCGCTTTAGCATAGGCCTCACCAAGTTTGTTTGTAGCCGGAGTGCTGCAAGATGTTCCCGCCCACATGCGTTTGTTTTTCCAACACTTGCAGTATGGATAGTAAGACACGTTAATTTGTTCATTATTACGCGACTCTTACCTCTAACTAACTGCTGCAACTGCCGGATCCAACTCGTGTGAGGTTACATACTAGCACAGCTGCTAACCAGCAGAACTTCCTCTGACTGAGCCGTCATTCGTCCCACTGCTGCAAAAAGCTCCTGACAGGCAGAGCGGCTCGTCACGTGGTTTGTGTTTACAGGTAGCGTAGCAGCTGAGTGTAGCCTGAAGACACACAGCGCCTCTCTTCAACATGCTCAGAGGGGTGAAATGTCTGAACAGAGAACATTATTATTATTATTATTATATATATCATCTGATGTTAATCATGTTTAATCCAAGTTTACCAAGCTTCTAAACATCTTTTTGCACATTGTATTTGCACTTTTAAGATCTAATGTAACTGCACATTTACAACTGCAATCACTGTTTTGCACATTTGCACCTCTACCTCCCAGTGAAGTATGTTACCCACATGACCTGCTTCATTGTTATCATTACTAACATTGTATCATTATTATTATTATTATTATTATTATTATTTAGCATCAATATATATATATATATATACTGTACATTCTATATATCTTTATTATATTATTATATTAGTCTATATAATATAACATTTCATTATATTACACTATATTGTTCATACAATTCTAAGATTCACTTAGCAGACGCTTTTATCCGCTTTTATCTTTTATCCAAAGAAAAAAAAGGGAACGATGTCAGTGAGAGCAAACGATCAGCTTTGAGTCTGATTGGACACACAGGTGCTGACAGGAAGTGACCAGAGGCAAAGCACAACATTGACGGCAGTTCTTGAGAGCTCTAATCAGTATAGAAACCATCTTATAGGTCGTCGTTATCAAACAAAAACCATCGTCATTACCATCATCATCATCAATAATATGGAGACCATCATCATTAAGTTAGTAGGTATTCATGAAAGAGCTGGGTCTTTAGCTTTTTCTTAAAGGTGCAGAGGAACTCTGCAGATCGAATGGAGTTTGGAAGTTCATTCCACCACCGGGGGGCGACAGAGGAGAAGAGTCTAGTCAGCGTCTTAGGACCCTGTTGTGAAGGTTGGATCAGACGCCTTTCGTTGCAGAGCGTAGTGGGAGGGAGGGAGTGTAGACCTGGATGAGAGAGTTAAAGTAAGGAGGAGACGTTTTTGTCGCTGTTTTGTAAGCGAGCAGCAGAGTTTTAAATTTGATGCGAGCAGTAACTGGGAGCCAGTGTAAGGAGATGAACAGCGGAGTGACATGTGCTCTTTTAGGAATATTCATATTGCACTATATTATATTATATAACTGCACTCGGTACAACACTGCCTCTCTTCTCTGCTGTTTTTACATTACTTGCTGCTATTGATCATACCAAGTCACTTTAATCGTCACTTGTCACTTTATCTTGTCATTCTCTGCAAATACTGTCTCAATTCCCTGCCTAGTTAACTTCATCATTCATTTTGTACTCGTATATACCCCCTGTTTTCATTTTTATCTATCTTATCTTATCAGAATAGATACATTAAACAGAATAGTTTAATGTGTCTGTGCTGCTGCAACGCCCGAATTTCCCCTCTGGGGATCAATAAAGTATTGTCATATCGTATCCTATCCTAAGTATATTTACATTCTGATACAATTTAATTTACTGTATTTAAGACTTTATAAGTCATGTTAAGCTACATGTGTATGTATGTATACATAATTATTTCCTTTATATTTGTAAGGGTTTATTTATTGTGTATTCATTCTTCTGTTGCTTTAATATTAGTTGATAACCTGCTGCTGTAACACCACAATTTCTCAGTTTGGGATCAATAAAGTACGCCTATCTATCTATGAATCCCCTTTATCTCATAACCAATTAACTTGCCACTTACTCCACAACATGAATGTCCTGTATAGTTTTTTGTTTGTTTGGCAATTAATGGGTTCATAGTTTATTTTAAACTTACTAGTAAATAGTTGTAACTACATGTTATTTTTTTTTATTTGTACTCGATTGCCCATGTTGTTGTTTTTTTTTGTTGTTTTTTTTCCTGCTCTGCAAAACGTAAGTCTACCCTCTGGCGATCAATAAAGGATTATCTCATCTTTTCAAAGGTGTCGAATTGTCCCTTCTCAGTAAACACATGGTTTCACACTTACAAATAACTTTAAGAGCCTCTTAAGCGACAGAAAAGTTGATTTATTTCCACATTCATGAAGGACAAGCCTGGAATATTTCACACCCTATTTTCTGGAATACAAAATGTTTTATTTTTAACATTTGCAACTGAATGCAGGAACCATTAAAGCCCCTGTGAGTAACTTTCGGTTTGTGTCAATTTTGGCGCCCCCTGTGGACAAAGTGATGCATCTTATCTCTTCTTTGATTTTGTCCTGTACAGTCATAATTAGTATTTTTTTAACAGAAATTCCATTCCTGCTTTTTTAATGTCACTGTGCATATTATCTGTGGAAAATGTAAAACAAAGGCTGTTTATTCTCCCCGATGTAAATCTAAGTCTAATGTGACACCTATCCCCATGGCAGCAGATACAGGCAGAATTATAAATTAGAATATAGAATTCATGTATATTATTGCTGATGGTCAATTATCATTCTTATCACTGATTGTCTTATTTCTTTTGTAGGTCATAAAGCGGCATCACACTTAATTATAGTCCGTTTCATAAGTGGTTAAAAATTCCTCACATGGTTTTATTTAGTGCTAGAGGTATTATCAACCTGTTTTTAATTTTCATTATAAAAGACACATTAAAAATATATACCACTATAGGTCCTCTAGTAAAGATTAGTAAGCAAACCAAGAGTAAGAGTATATCAACAACTCCGACTACAGCACCAACACTTTATTCTAAGGAAGCTGTATTTAAATCTAATCTACAATTTATTTTACACTTGAAAACAGAAAAATAACATGACATTTTTCAATTTAAAAATAACAAGTGTCAAGACTGTTAGGATCTCTGCTATCAAACGCATTAAACAGGTTAATATCTCGTCTGAAGTTTTAAATGGAATAAAAACTAAACACTCAGAGCTGCTCCTGTCGCAGCAAGGACACCAGCTCATAATATCTCATTCTCATTCAGACTCAACAAGTGTCGAGTTGGGCACCCATTGTTTCAAAAGGACGATGCAATGCCAACAATGCTGCTTGCTGAATGAAGTGGAGGCTCTTGAATGAGGCTGCTGTCATGGTAACAACCTCTGCATAGTCCATTATACTGGGAGTGCATGAAAGGCATGTGTAATCAGTTATTTAGTTTTATGAAACCAAATGGCATTTGGTGAAGAAATAAATGTCAAGTATGTTTTATTTTTTTATTGATAATAACAGCTTTTATAGCCTTTTTAAATGAAAACACATTATAACTAGATATCAAACATTATTGGCATATCAAGTAGTTTTTTTCATCCAGTGCAATAACTAACTGCTTTCAGAAAATACGGCTACACTGAAGAGTGTTTAGTCCAGAGTTAAAAAATAACAACAGTCAAGGACACAGTTCATGAACATATTTTAAAGTACACTGCAGTCAAAATCAACTACATTAAATATGAATACCTACAGTACAACCCTTTGAGTTTAGGGGTTTAAAATGGAACATTATTCATTTTAATTGGCTTAAAAACTAAAGTAGAACATGTCTGCCAAGACAAACCAATGATCCAAATCATACTTCCAGCTTGTAAATAAATGTAAGAGATGAAGTGCCCTACAGCTCAGAACTTAAAATAATAGGAGTGATAGCATTAAATTGCTAATTGGATAGCTGCTCTTTACTTCTTTGATTTGGGTCTAATCCAAACCACAGAACATCATGATCCACGGCTGCCCATGCCATCCGCTCTGTGGTGAACGTGGCAGCCCACTGTCCTGATGGAGACACTACAATAGCGCCTCCTGCACCATGCACACGGTTTCCCATGTACTGCAGAGACAGCTGTGAAGAATCTGCCACTGATTTACCTGCACGAGGGATTAAAAGTATGGTATCACTAAAGAAACACATTTAGGTAATCAGTGTGTCATTCTTCTGTACATTATACAAGTATCAGTCAAACGCACTGTTGCGGCTGCCATTTTTAGACTCAATGTGATGTGTAGACAGCGTTAAATTATTACCTTGCTCAATATGTGAAATAATGAGTCTGGCCAGTGTGACTTTCAGAATAGACTCTCCATGACCGGTACATGAAACGGCACCACTGAGGTTGTCTGCGTATCCTCCAGAACCTCATCCACAAAAAAAAAAAAAAAAAAAAAAAGACAATATTTGAAAAGCTGCTCAATGTCTCCAAATACGACCAGAAGATGAACACAATAAAAAACTCTTAATAAAAACAAAACTAAGAGTGTGAATGAAATTATAGCTTTGCTCTTAAGATGTAAGTTTATATGGAAAAGGTCATTTGAGATGGAACAAAATGAGATCAGATAATGATGACTTATGATCAGAGCCCGGCAAACTAATTAGCATATTCAGTAAATATCGGTATTGGCAAATTTTATTGCAGATATGCGCCCATATTGTGCGATATAGTCATCAAAAAACAAAACATATTAGTCAGGCACTATTTCTGATTGTAACTGTAGTAGGCAACTTAGGAAGTGCACTTTGTAAAAGTAAGCAAATGAAGTCGTACCAATGATTGGAGAATCTCCTACTCTGCCAACCATTTTATTTCTGATCCCTCCGGTTGATGTTGCACATGCAACGTTACCAGAACAGTCCACCGCAACTGCTCCAACAGTATCATGAGCCCTAGAGAGAGAGAGAGAGAGAGAGAGAGAGAGAGAGAGAGGGAGAGAGAGAGAGGAAATGAATTAAAAAGCAAAAAGAAGGATGAATGCATGACTTTAACAGTGGATTTCTCTCACTTCTTCAGTAGCTGACGTTTCTTTTCACTACCAAACACTGAATCAAAACAATGATTTACTTGTTCAAAGAAAATATCCCACAAAACTTGCTCGAAGCCCAGCGAATTTCTCAAAGAATTGGGAGGACATTTAACTAGCAGTCAAAACTGAACAAAACTCAGTGAAATGACCATGAAAACCACTGAGTGATCCAATGATTATTAACTAAATTCCACTGCCCATGTCAGTGATCACCATTTTTCAAAGGATTAAATTTATCTAGGTCGAGTAGGACAATCTGAACACATCCTCCTGTTTGGCATTTCTCAGAGATGTCTTCTCCTTTTCTTCTATGAACATTTTTTATTATGAAATTCTGCACTCTACAAACCAAAGCAGTATCACACCAGGTCGGTGAAGCTGAAAAAGAAAGCCCTTTTAATAAGGAGATTTAAATCCAGACAAAGAAAGGGGGATAAGAGTCAGTCACTGGAGATACTTACCACTGAGCGTTGAAATCCTCCATTACTCCTGTAACATAGTTCTTGTGCTTCTCCCATTCTTTCCTCTCGTACTCAGTCACCATTGTTTCAGTGGGAACTGTCGCCATGCCGATGCTCTCTGCAAACTGGTTTGCTCCTCTGCTTGTCAGCATGCAGTGAGAAGTCTGAGGAAGCCAAAAATGTATGTCATTGTACTTTTATTAATGCATCTTATATCACTCAGTTCACTGAACATACAACCTGTTGAAACTTGTACAAAAAGCATTTTAATGATGTTATAAGAATTATTGAATGGCATGTATTTTAAGGCCTCACCTTCTCCATCACCGCCCGTGCCAGTGTCACAGGGTGGGCGATGTTCTTTGCAGAAGACACCGCACCATTCCCAAGAGTCCGTCCATCCATGATTATGGCGTCCAGCTCCACTTCTCCTTCAGTGTTTAGCGTTCCTCCGTGCCCTACGATTAAATACCACAGTACCTGTAACTTAGCTTTATAATGAGGCAGACAAAAATCTGATAAAGACAGCTGATAATGCACGGTAAAGTAGCCAAGTATAATGGAATGACTTCATCAATGCTAAGAAACTAAACACAATCGAACTCCAGACAGACAGAGAGAGAGAATGACTGGAGGCAGATGAAGATTCCCTGCATACTCGGATCAGAAGACTTGATGGAGAGAAGGATGAAAGAGCATCTTCAAAACCAATCTGTGTAACTGCAATCTTTATTCTTGTAGTGCAGTGAAGGCCTTGTTGTTGTGCCTAAACAGAAAGGGTCGAGAATTTAAGACAGCAGAATCTCTTGATCCACTTCCAGTTACCTGAGCTGCCAAGAAAGAAACACACCTTCCTGACGAGACTCTGAGTGATCAGACACCTGTTTCCTCAGGTCCACAGCATGCGTTTTATGAATATGACATCATACGTGCCGGAGCTTCAATACAATCTGAGGACTGCATGTTTGAGAGAACTGCTTTTCTGAAACTGCCCGTGGATTAAAGTACAAGCACATAAAACCCCCAAAACTAAGCAAGTGGTGGCGCTGGTGGTGCAGTGGTTAGTGCGCGCGCCCCATGTATGGAGGCTGTCGTCTCAAGCGGGCGGCCCGGGTTCACGTCCCACCCGTGGCCTCCTTCCCGCATGTCATTCCCCACTCTCTCTTTCCCTGATTTCTGACTCTATCCACTGTCCTATCTATCCATTAAAGGCACAAAAAGCCCAAAAATAAATCTTAAAAACAAAAAAAACAAGCAAGTGAGTGACACGCCTGCTGCACACAAGATGATGATTTTTCATATTTATGGTCTTGGTCTTGACTCCGTCTCCCCCCTGGTCTTGTCTCGGTCTCAGAGCTTTGAGGAACTTTCATTTTCCATTTTCCATGGAAAGCTACAAGTTTGTAATCATGCACTAAATCTAAAAGGATGACCCACAATGGTTATGCCATTTACAAGATATTTGTATTAACAGTGATAATTGAAGTAGACTTAAATAATGTGTTTGAACTTACAAAGTACACAATAAATTAAACTATACATTTCCATAACCTGAAGTTGGTGTGAGAATAAACTGACACTGCATGAATGTGAAATGATTATTACATAAAGGCAGGTCAGAAGTGTTTCTATCTCAACTGTTGTGCTAATGTTGCTGCAGATGAAGTCTGGGATTAGTCCTGGATTATGAGGATGAGCACTACACTCAGCCTGCAACCTAACCTTCTCTTAACCCCCTTATTGTGACAATTAGATGGAGTCTAGATGAAGTTCGGCAGCACCACCAGCAGATGGAGACAAAGTGCTACAGACAAACTGAGCTGACCCAAATAAAGGAATAAATATTGGTTAGAATAACATATTCTACAGTCTTCAAAGTATACCTGCATTAAACACAGTGTTATCTTCCAGAGCCCTCACAGCGGCCTCCACAGCATCCAGCGCACTCCCTCCTCTTTTCAGCACTGAATGTCCTTCACATGCCGCGGCCTTTACTCCGTCCACAGAGGCCTTGGCCAGGTCATCAGGTATGGCCCACGCTCCACCATGTACGACTACGACCGCCGACATCTTTAAGTTCCTGCAGGAAAAAGACAAGACTAGTTTGAGGAGTCTCACAAAAGTTACACCTCAAAAAAAATATTCCCCTCTGTGCAGTGACGATTCTAGAGTCTGTTGGGGCCCGAGAGCAAAATCTATTGTGGGCCCCTGCAAACACCATTGTGCTGTTTTCACTCCCAGACAGAAAATTCCTCCAGTGTTTTTAACAGGAAGCTGTCAGATAGGGCCCCATTTTAGGGAGGTTTCCTTCTGTCATTGCACAGTTTGAACTACTGCTGTGTAAAGTTTGTCAGCCCCTCGAGGGGCCCCTTACTGGACTGGGGCCCCAAGCTAGTTGCCTGCCTTGCCTGTTGACAAGCAGCGCCTCTGCTTCTGTGCTTATGCTCTTAAAAGACCTGAAACAAAAACGTTTAATGTTTATAGTTATGTTCAACTTTTTTTTTTTTTTTACAACTTTTGAGAAAATCCAGAAATGAAAAACAAAAACTTAATTTCTAAATTTTTACATGTTTTATAATATTTGATGAGGTCTTTTTTAGAATATTCAGATAAAAAGTAAAGTTTCCAAAGGTTATTTAACTTGGAGTTAATCAATGTTTTACATTTTTATTGATCCAGTTTATATCATTTTTTCATATTTCGGCACTACAAGCTCTTTATTTTTCTTTATAACTAAATGATTCTAAAGTGAACAGGTAAATACGAACTGTTTGCATTTGGCAATTTAGTTTTTCAGTGTTAGATCATGTATAACATGAAGGTGATGAACGCTTGTTGGAGGGGGCACCCTGTTAGTTTGGACCCAACAGACTGAAGAATCGCCACTGTTCAGAGGAGCTGCTAAATGGAGCCTCAGATCAGATAATTATGTCGAGATTTTTTCCAAGGTCAAAAAGGTTATAACTTACTAATTAACACCTCATCATTCTCAAACCTATTTTTATCATCTAATTGTGTTAATTAATTCCATTTGAAAAGGCTTCGCTGTTCCTCACATACCTGTTAAGTAGAGACATCTTTAGTTTGGTGTGTAACTCTTCCTGGTTGCATTACCTAACTCAAAGGCTATCACATGGACATACTCACTCAGGTGAATATCTGCATGAGTCATAATGTTTTATGGGTGCAGCAGCTTATGTTATGATTGAGTCAAGGAGCAACACATTTTTCTGCTTTACTGCAAAATGTGCTTCCTGCTGTGGAAGCATGCACATGTTTAATGTATTGAATGATTAATAATAATATGACCTCCAGCTGATTCGCATGTTTTAAATAAGTTTATCAGGTTACAACATGCAGGACACGTGGGAGTCACCTCAGGCAATGTGCAAAGGCTCCTCAGACTTCTTTCCTCAGAAGTTGTTTGACACCCAAACCCTCCATACAGCTGCATCAATTATTTATCAAATATACTAACAAACTGACACTTCTCTTACCTTTCCGGATCTTCACTCTTTTCCCCAGGGGAGGAAACCTCCGGCACAGTCACGTGGTTTCGTGGTATTTGTCAAGTGTTTTTGCTATCTCCCGACCGAGCCCGGCCTCGAAACGTCAAGGTAACAATAATTTACATATCACTTCCGGTCAGAGCTGTCAGAGTAAAATATGTGACGTGCACCTGGATGAACGTGAGGTTGGCTACTAATTAACACAAATGGCACAGATAACACACAAAGCTGTAACCTCTCCATGAGAAGGCCTGAACAAGCCTAAAAGCAGTCCTGGTACACCTGCTTCACCTGGAACTAGTCGTACAAGGTAATCTATTGCAAGATTTCAATCCAAAGTCATGATTTCCTTTTTTTTGCAACACTTCTCTTATTTCATTTCAACCCAAATAAGCAATGGGTTTGGCTTTAGAGAAGAAATTCTTACTCATCGTATGCATGCCTCATCCACTTCATCTGCCTATTGCTACTGCACAAAAGTTTTGGATTTGAAGTCAAACATCAATTGTTCTCGTAGCCAAAGACCAGGTGAACCAACTTGCAACCTTTTAGGGCTTAAATGGAAATCCTAGGCTTCATATTATATTGTTGCAATAGTTGATTTAAATGACACCACTCCTTATTGAACTGTAATGCCACATGAACAAACATAAAGCTTCCTTAGGTCCAAAGGCGTCTAAGTGTTTGGTCACACACTGCAGATGTGAATGTTTCCTTTATGTGTCAAATGCAAAATATTAATCTTATTTTAAGTCCCTTCAAAGTATGTGTGGTATGATATTTAATGTAATTTTATTTTGAAAGGAGAATTTAAACCCCGTTTTGGGTTCGCGTTGTTGGCTTGATGGAGGCGGGGCTTAAAGGGGACAGTGTATTTATTAATTGACTGAGCAAACACAATAAGTGATGAGATAAGTGTTTGTTGTCAACTTGCTTATCACCATTTTTGCAGTTATGTAATTAATGAATAAAAGATTGTTAGTCCTGTTAAAGGTTGATTTGTGTGGACTTCTGGGAGTTTACACGACTTGAGAAATATTTGACAGCAGAGTGAGTTCACAATCAAGAGCTGGAAAAGATGTCTTTATTGATACATAACTTAATGCTTTGTTAAAACAATGAGGGGTCAATGTGACGCCAAGGCAAGCAGCAAAATGCTTCAGTTTGTCTAAAACATCCCGCGCTTAAGGCAACAGAAGTTACAAAGTAAGATAGAAGGATATACTCTATTCGGCATGGACATCACACAATACAGTGGATGAACCATATGCATTGTTGAAATGTTTTAGCATACATGCTAGTCCTCAACATCTGTCCACAGGAGGCTTTAGAAAGGAAAACTATTAAAGGAAGAAAAGCAATAAGAGCGGGAGAAACAATAAAGAGAGAATGAATAAATAATAAAGCAGCAATATATTCAGAGTCAAATATACACATGAACTGTAGAGCAAAGGCAGCAGGATGAAATAATAAACCTGTCAGAAGCTATTCATGTGAGCACTGCTGATTTGATTTTAGCCGTTAGTAAGTAAAGTGCATCACAGAGCCACATCAGAAAAGTAAACTAGAAATGCAGAGGACAGACTTCCTGTGAAGAAAGCAGAAACATGGTTTAAGCTTAAGGCGAGTATTTATAGAACAATTCTGTGCTTAACCAGGGCTTTACAGACATTATTTAAAACAAGCTTACAATATAAAATTAAAAATATATGTATTTTTAATTCATCCTGACAATGAAATGAGAGATTAACACAACAAAGGAACACTAAAAACAGGGTTGAACGTCTGCTTAAATGCAGATAAAATTGGGGGGATACTTTTTTTTTGGTTGTTTAACAGAGAGACTTTTACGATAACTTGGATCCCCACTGATTTGAAAACATGCTCAAACATAAAGCTAAAGCATTGGCTGTCTGATCTGCAGCCTTTAGATATGGCAGTAAGATGCAATTTTGCATTTTGACCACTAGAGAGCTGTAAGAATGCATCAAATCAAAGATACAACACTCGTAAGAGGCTTTGTGTTGGATTAGTGCCGATGGGGTCAAACACACTTTTCTTTTTCCAAAGTGACACAGAGCTGTGTGCAGTTATTATCCTTAATTTACTAGTTGTTTCCATGTCAGGGTTTCTATTTCTTGATCCTGTATTCTGATGTATGTTTGTATTATTTAAGTATGTCTGCTTGAGTCTAATTGTTCCTTTATACTACAGGATTACTGAAACATATTAACAGTCCTGTCAGCGTAAGCATTATCCACTGAAACAGCGCCAGTGTTATGATAATGATTGTCATCAATCATTTTATTGAAGGAAATTAAATCAGTGAATGTCCAGCAAGCATTAAACACAAAGACATAGGCAACTGGCCAGCATGAACCCAAATCACCTTTTTTTAGGCAAGCGGCCAAAAATCTTGTCTTTTTCCAGAGATAAATGAATTGTTTTTATTTTATTTATTCTTAAAGTTGAGGAAATTAAAGTGTGAAGTTCTGATCAACAGTTGCTCCTTTTGGGTGATGATAAATGATAATCAGAAGGAGACTTAGTGTGAAATTAGATGAATGATTAATTTGAACCATAAACTGTATAGTCGCCATATTGGTAAGCTAACTTCTGGTTAACCTTGTAATAGGCAAAAGAGAAAAGAGGTGGAGTGGGAGAGGAGCTGAGGCGGGCTTTAAGCCCACTGACAAACAACTAACCTGCCCATCAGTCAGGTTTGCCACACCCCTAATTTTGAATAACTCGTCTCCTTCACTCCTCCCAAGAGGCTGGCTGCATAAACCTCGGAGGCCAGATACCCATTCAATAATGCCAGTTTCTACAGAAGAAATAAACATGTCTTTATTGGCAAACAGAGGTGCTGCTTGTCAACAGGCAAGGCAGGCAACTGCTTGGGGCCCCAGACCAGTAAGGGGCCCCCGAGGACTGACAAACTTTACACAGCAGTAGTTCAAACTGTGCAATGACAGAATGAAACGTCCCTAATGGGGCCCTATCTGACAGCTTCCTGTTAAAAACACTGATGGAAAATGAAGAAGAATTTTCTGTCTGGGAGTGAAAACAGCACAATGGTGGTTGCAGGGGCCCACAATAGATTTTGCCTAGGGCCCCAACAGACTCTAGAATCGCCACTGTTGGCAAACAATGGCGATTCATCTGTTTTGATTCTATGAAGGATAAGAGTCATCCATAATTAGGGGCGTGGCCAACCTGACTGGTGGATGGGCGCTGTGCAGCTGTTTGTCAGCTTGAAACCCGCCTCAGCTCCCGCTCTTAGCCTGTTAATAGGTTGATTGAAAGTTAGGTTTAGACAGCATTCCCACCTAGAGGTTCAATGGTCCAGTATTCTTAGAGATAGTACTTACTAATTCAATTAAGTGATACATATTTTACAACAAAATTGATTGTAAAATATATTGCATTACTGTTAGATGACACAATTTCTGATTTTGGAATGAACAATTCCATCAAGATAGATGTGTATATAAGAAGCAAGAACTGATGACTTCCAATTGGGGCGCATGTACAGAGGCTTGAGTCCTTCAGAGCAGACGGCCCGGGTTTGAATCCGACCTGTGGCTCCTTTCCTGCATGTCATTCCCCTCTCTCTCTCTCCCTGGTGTTTGACTCTATTTCCACTGTCCCATCTCTAAATTAAAGGCATAAAAAGCCCCCAAATAAATCTTGAAAAAGAACATCCAATTAAGTCTCATTCCCCGTACACCAGTATCTGCAGTCCCCTCCCTCACCCTTTACGATTCTGATCAGTGCACTTTGAATCATCTCTAAAAGGTCAAGCGGAGCCAGCGTTGGTCATTCGGCAGCATCTTCAGCTCAAAACTCATTTGTGAGTAAATAAAACAGACCTGAACGCTGCTTCGCTCCAAACAACTTGAGGATCCAAATCGATATCAAAGCTGTGGGGCTTGAGAGGCATTTTATATGAAATGCAAACACTCCTACTTACACCGCTGGCATCTTTTCTTAACTAACTAATGAAGCACTCACATGGCATTTAAAGTCTCTGAAGGTAGTGTGACATCATTACTCTGAACTTGACCTTCTTGAGAATAGTACAGGAGTTTAAATCCTACGTTATTATGCCTCTCAAAGCAGGGATCACAGCTCTGCAGTTATGTTAAGAAACAGTCATTCTAACTATATGTTTTACTTAAAATGTGAAAGCTAAAAGAATATTCAACATTTTTTTTTAAAAAGGAAACTTTCTTATGTGTGACCACGTTCTTCTTCTTCGAGTTTTAACAAGATTATAATGGGACGGGATTAAAAGATCATCAAAAAACAAAGTGAAGAAACAAAGCAGGGATAATCTCCCAAACTTATTCATTATTTCTTCAGCATTCAAAGTAAAATCCACAGCAAACAAGGAGCAGGAAATTAACAAATTTATATGTTTCTCCTTCCCTCCTTTAAGCCCTGTGATTCAGTTATAAAAGGCACACGGTGGGCATGGTTATGCAGAGCTTTGCAGTTGCCAATGTGTAATTTGCTCTGTATTCATGAAGCCAAATATCCTTTTGGATTGTTTACTGGAGATGTTAAAACAGACCGAGTCTTAGAACTAGCAAGACCAACAAGATACAAGAGTGGTAAGGTCAAACCACTTTGAAAAGAAGATGCAGTTTCACCAAAAAAAGAAATTATTAAGTTTATTAAGTAGTTTAAACCAAATGCAATTTCAGATAGTTTCAGAAATGACTATTTTACACATCTTCCAGAGAAATCTCAGCCATGCAGTCTGTGTTCAGCACCTTGGACAGCGACACAGACAGCACTGTGTTTTGGTCCCTCGGGCTCGACTGACATTTCCGACAGCTTGCTTCAAATACCAGCTGTTCTAGTAACTTTCAGAGCCTCGAATAGAAACTCTCAGGCCACAGCGCATTACGGGTGTCGGCTCGCATGTATCTGAAAAACTAATTGGTTTAGGAATGTTTCTCTCAGAGATAAGGTGCTATCGCTTAATAATTTTGACATAACTGATCTCACTATAATTAAATGTTATCATATCAAAGAAAGCTGCAACTCCGCTGATAGCCTCTTAAAAATCCCCTGACTAAGAATA